AAACCTGAGTTTCGCGTTTATCGCTAAAATTCTGTTAAAACCCGTGAGAAATTTTGTGTCGATTTTGAGCACGAGATCAATCCGTATTTTCTTCGTGATGTTACAAGACATGTATAGGGAACAAAGTTAGAAGAATCTGAATGTTAACTGTAACTGAGGTGCAAAGGGTTAATTAACAGTGTTGTCTTGTTACTGTTTACCAGAATCATTTGTGGCTGGGACTTTCGCAGTTGTTTATCAACACAAATTAGAAGTCAAGATTATGTACAGCTTGAGGGTTTTTGCACGAGCAAGCATCCTGCAAACCAAGCTCCTCGGGCAATCCAAGAAATATTTTTTCTTACAAGCCAGGTGTTTCACAGGAAACTTCTTACCATGGTATAGCGCAATTCAGCATAAAGGGGTCATAAGGAAGAATGTAACACTACGTGTACCCCTGACGATCCCCTGTGCTTTCAGCTCTGTTACTGTGAAGAGCCTGGCTAAGAACATTGCAGCCGTCAGGAATGCTGAGGAATATCTTTATCTGTATGAGAACTTCAAGGATTCACCTGCAATGACACGAGTGATTCGCATTACAATTTTGCATTCCTTAGCCAGGTTTGCTACAGAAGGCCCAAAAAAGAACTTTTTTTCTGCAAAGAAGGCATTGAAAAAACAGAACGATATTTTTGCAATTTTGCTTCAAAGCATAGCAGGTGAGCTTGAAAAGTGCAAGGCACGTGAGCTTGCCAGTATCATGTGGTCTTTGGGAAAGTTAAGAGAGCATGTTACATTGATTGTTTCTGAATGTGAGAAAGAAATCTTTCGCCGAGATGTGACTTCTTTCAAGGCACCATCGGTCTGCAGGCTTCTGAATGGTTTTGCATGCCTTGATTTGAAAAGATCACATTTTTTTAGTTTGATTGAGCAAAGTATTCTAGAAGGGAAACTCAAGATGAGTGATTTTGAAAATCGTGGCTTGGCTGGAGCTTTGTGGTCTTTCAGCAAAACTGGAAATGGAAGCAGGGAGCTGTTTGGAAAATTCCAAGAAGAAATTTTATCGAGAAATGCAAAAAAATTCAGCAGTGCACAGCTGGTGCAGTTGTTGTGGTCGTTCACACAGAAAGGAATACAGTGTGACAAGCTGTTTGAAATCACAACACAAGAGATCCTTGAGCGACCAATGGCAGATCTAAGTGACTACAGTATCAATATGTTACTTTTGGTGTTTGCAAAAGCCAACCCAGACCCACATAAGCAACAAGAAAACTTTGAGTTTTTCAACAGCCTAGGTGCTGAAGTAACACAGCGAGGTGTTCATGGTTTTGACACCAAGGAACTCTCCATGTTAGTCTGGTCTTTTGCAAAAAGGTGCCCAGACATTAAATCAGTTTTTGCTATTGTGGAGAAAGAACTCCATATTCAAGGCATCTCAAAGTTAAGGAATGAAGAATTGTCACTAATTTTGTGGTCCTTTGCCAAATCAGGGAATTTTAGTGCCGCGCTCTTCAATACATGCCAAGAAGAAATTCTTTCCAGGGATATGAGTTTGTTCAAAGCTCACCAGTTGAGTCAGCTAATCTGGGCATTTGGAATGGCAACAGCTCCATCCATGGGATTCTTTACCATTGCAGAGAAGGAAGTTCTGAGCAATGTGAGTCATTTCTCCGACAAAGAACTTTGTATGATATTACATGGATTCAGTCGTGCATCGGCTGGTACGCACAAACTATTTACTATGCTTGAAAGGGAAGTTTTGGAGAGGAACATACCCGACAATAACCCTGGAATTATTCCGGAGTTGGCTTCAGTGTTCTCTAAGTGCAACTATGAGGCAACATCAATGTTTGATGTAATGGAGAGAGTGCTCAAAGCTACTGATCAGTCTGTTTTTAGTGAGCAAGAATTGCAGGAAATAAAAGTGGCATTCTTCAAAGTTGGGAGAGAACATTGCCCTTTACAGAATATAAAGAAGATGCAGGCTGAAGCAGTGCATCACAATTAACACTGAAAACAACAGTCTTAGCTTAGATTAAGTATTGACATTTCAGTGAGGATTTAGAAGAACTTCGAAAATACTGTGAAATTTGAAATTTTCAGCATATTGTGAGCATGGGACATGTATACAGAAAATCTGAGTCCCCGATGGGGCCAGAGTTCAACCCATAACCTCCCAGATTCTGGTTTTCTTTGCCCCATGCTTGCATCATGCTGAAAATGTTATTCATCACATTGATTCACCTGGCTGAAAACTATCTATGTAACTTTCATTCTTTGAAAGTGTTTTTGCTGAAATTTCATCTTACTTGTTCTATCCTACAGGTAAACTGTCAACTCGGAGAAGAAGAAAAATACAGGGTTCCCTGGGACTTTTCTGTTTCTTTCATACATCGAGAAAGATCCCACTCACAGAGTAGCCAGGGCATGGCGGAGTAGTCAGTTGTCATGGCATAACCTACATTGTACAACTCTCTTCACATTCATGTGAGAATCAGGGACAGACAGTGCACCATTTCCAAAATTAATATTAACAATTTTAATATAGCTACACTGCTTTTCAGAGGTTATTCCTGAACTTTTTATTTCATCTGTTTCAAGTTAGAGTACAATTAAATTATTGCGCATTCTACATGTAACTTTTCCTGAGCTCATTATGCATAATTACTTGTAATTTATTGAACTGAACAACATTGCTAGGTTGCGAACACCTTATGAGTACATGTACACGTATAATTATGCAAGTATGAAGATCCAGCCTAAACTGCTGTTAACTGTTATGTGTGGCAAGGGACTGTTTTTTTTATTCAAGAAGCTAAAATACCGATATTATTACTTGCAACCTCACTACATGTAAGATAGAAAAGGCTAAGTCTGTATACGAGCCAAGTGGCGCATCAGGCTGGACCTTATCCTGGTTTATGTAGCATGAATTCTACTCCCCTCCCCAGGATGGGATGCTAGATCATCTCAGGGTTGCCCCCAGCATTGCATTTGTTTGTAGCTAATTATGAATTTGGCTTTTTTTTGGAAGTTGTACCGGATTTGAGGTGATACTTTTTTTAAACAAATCTTTATTATGCATTGTTACACACACTGGTTACAATGCTTCTACAGCTACTTTACTTACAAGACTAATACATATACTTACATTATTTATAATACTTCGTATTCAATATGATTCATTCCGTCACTTACAATACAAAGGCTACTTACATTACTTACAATGCAGTACATACACTACTTACAATGCAATACCATCACTTAATCTACTAACAATACAAATGCTTCCACTACTTACAGTACAGTACAATAACCCATGTTGCTTACAATACTAATTAACACTACTTACCCTGTAATACTATTAGTAACGTCACTTGCAATATAATTAGATTACATTATGTGTATCTTTGATTTCCAACTTTAAATGCTAGATCTATAACTCAATGTTATCTGGCTAAAAGTCAAGTNAAAGATTTAAAAACTATATATTAAAAAATACAAAATTATCATACTATTAATGTCTTAAAAAATATGCGTTGAAAATACAATATTAAAAAACGATAAAAATACAACATGTCTATAAAGGAATCATTTAAGACAAGAACTGCATTGGCAGCCACCAAAGTTTGTTGTATTAAGATGATTGATAAAAGCTGGAACATTTGCTGCATTTTTTGCTGCCGGCGGTAACTGATTCCAAATTCGATCCGAAAACTTAATCACCCGGCCTCCTTATCGGTAGAGTCTCAGTTCTAAATTCCACACAAACTCTTACATTTTCAACAAATATTCCATGCTTGGGTTAACTTTGCCTGACCGCGTCAGCTGGCAGTTAGGAGGCTGGGGAGAGAGAACAGGGGAAGCACGCGGAGGACGGAAAAAGGTCATTTTGCGATAACTCGCAAGCACACGGAAAACGCTAGTACTGCAAGCCAGCGGGGATTCACGGCGGGAAGGGGAAAGGCAGAAGCTCTAGCCGTTTCGCTCCTCCCATCGTAAGGATATGCCCCCTGGGAGTGCTCCCTCATATGGGCTATAGAGGTATGTGTGGCCATAAAGAGTATGGTTTTGTTTTTAGCCGTTTTGGTCATAAAAAGGGTATCTATTTTGGTTATTTTGGTCGTAAATAGGGTATGGTTTTTGTACTTTAGTCTGGATTTGGGTATGTTTTTTAGAAGAAGCTAGTTTTTCAACATTATCGATATGACCATCAACAAAAGCCCTTCAGAAATTATGTTTCGGGCTTGAGTTTAGGGCAACTGTGCCAGCTGCAGCGGTCATAAATAGGGCATCGAATTTTTGGTCAGTCATAAATAGGGGAGGGAAAATCGCAGATTTTGGTCATAAATAAACTTGAATAGGGCAAGGGTTTTGGGAAGTGGGCCGCACACCCCCACCCAATTTTTCTGGGAGTGCCCCCCCAATTTTTCTGGGAGGATATGCCCTCACTGCTTCCAGACTTTGAACCAGCTCGCACCAGCTGAACACAACGTGACACGATAAAACGTGACCGCTGACCACTCTTGGACATACTGAGAGATAAGTGTTTCCTTGTCTGTGTTGGCCGTCTTTGTTCTCATTTGTAGAACGAAGCTGGGATTTTCAACCTGCATACATGACTATACAAGATCAAATCTATTGTTTTTTTCTCTTCAGTTAAGTGTTTATAGCACATAAATTCTGTTGGCTGTCTAACTGCCAGCTCCTCGTCAAGTACGCGGTATCGCGGTAAGTACAAGTCAGTGTACGAAATTTAAACTTATACTTTTAATTTGGTAGAAAACAAATGTAATTAGAAATGTCTTAGTGCGCAGTTTAGATGGCTTTACGGAGAAAATATGTTCGTTTTTTGAATTTATTTCTCAGCTTTGATGAAAAAAAAAACAAAAAAACTATGGACCAGTCTTCCTTTTGTAGTCCTTTTGATTTTCCCGGGTCTTTTGAGTGTTTTATTTGTTTACCCCAACATCTAAAGGTTGGAATTTATTTCAAGATGGATTTTATTTCACGATAGGGAAAAGAAAAAGAACATGGAATGATGGTCAAAACCATGTAAGTGCATTTAATTAAAACATGACAAATAAAAGTTATTTAGGCATGTTTTTCATTTATTGGTGTTTGTCACGCAATATACCTTTCCGTTGCAGAGAACACCAACGTGACAAATTATCAAAGTAGTCTGCAGGTGAATGGAAATCAATACGACGGGATTAATGGCTACTTAAAGCTAAGTGAGTTATGATGAGCCAATTAATGTAAAAGTGCAGGGAAACAATTATAGGATAACATGAAGAAGTAGAAGTAATGGGAGGTGACATTACTTTGTGCATCATAAGTTATTAAATACACCTATATACATAGTATGAATAAAATTTCTTTTAAAGTTGTGCATAATTTACATCAAAATGGAACTATGGTCTGCAACTACATGCACAAATTTGAGAAAAAAGCGAGGGTGGGTACACGTGCCATTTCTTTCTGGTTTACTCTTGAATTTCCTTTGTTCACATGTACAGGTATGTATGATCCTTCTGGGAAATTATAATAATTATCAATTATTATTATTATTATTATTATTATTATTATTATTATTATTATTATTATTATTATTATAATAAGAACCAGGCACAGACTAAAACATGTCCAAAATTACAATGTAATAATTATAATAATAATTAATAATAACTACACCACTTCTCAATGTTTAATTGGACTATTTATTGTATCTGTTTCAAATTACATTTGTGCAGAGTACAATCGTGTGTTCTAACTTGTCCAGCACCATTAAATAATCACTTGTTCAACTGAACAACTGCCAATTTTGCCAACCCCTGGTGTGAGTACAAAGTTCTAATTCTCTCCATTTTAACCTGAGTGTCTTTAAATATTACGTGCAAGGACACTTTGTGCCTTTCAGAATGCTAAATGAACTCGTAGTCTTACTACATGTTTCTTAGGGCCTGTTTACAAGGAGGTGGGTTAACCCTAGCTGGAGGGTAAAAGATAGCCTGGGCTTACAAACAAAATTTCACAGGTAGGGTAACCCTACAACCTGGGACAAATTAATGTGTGGTTACACTCAAAGGGTCTGGAAACAATTAGAAAGTTAACCTGGGTAGGGCGGTTAACCCTACCTGTTGTGTTTACAAGAGAAAAGTTAACCTGCCTGCCAGGGTAACCCTAGCACACAGATAGGGTAATCTGCCTATCCGGGTAACCCTGGCTGCCTTGTAAACATGATGAAGTAAAAGAGAGGAAATATGGGAGTGCTAGGGTACCACGCTTGCTAGGGTAACCTGCTTACTAAGGTAACCCTCTCTCCTTGTAAACCTGTAAGCCCCTACAATCATGTAATAAATATTATGAATTCCTGTTACATCAATTGACATTGCTGGTTTACACTCATTTTCATTCTTCTTTATATCCTAACTAAAATAACTTATTGTTATCCTACAAAATAATTTAGAGCACTATGACTTTAATTTAAGGCATCAGCACAAGTTGGTGACTAGACACTTAATATATCCTTCAGCTTGTGGCTTCTACTTCACATCAAATTTGAAGATTGTTTTCTGCTTGTAAGTTTCTCCAGGGTGAAGAATAGGACTTGGAAAACCAGGCTGTCAATAACAATCAATCAAATTAAATGTGGCTAAATGTAACTTAGTTAAACGCGAAACAAGATTTCTGGCCAGCAGTCTCCCTCAGAGTGAGGATTTTGGGGAACCTCGCAGGGCTGTCCTCTTTTGAAAAAAATTCTGGAAAATGCCATCAAATGAAAAGAATGTTCTTTGCATGTGGTACAGTAATAGACTGAAGTGCCTCTATTCAGCTTTGTTTTATTTGTACAAACTGACCTGGTTAATGGCATCTGGGTAATTCTGAGCCTCCAAACAGAAAGCACCATATTTGTGGTACTCCACCCCTCCCTTGCCAGGACTTCCATCCAGTCCATTGCCAGTGTAAAACTGTACACCTGGCTGATCAGTGAACATTTTAACAACACGACCACTTGAGGGATGGTACACTCTGGAAGGTTGAAAGCATTAAAACTGTTTATTAAGACTAGAAGTTAAGGAAGCGTGGTGGCTCGCTTCCTTAACTTCTAACATTGGTAACATTTTCAAATGTTACCAATGTTAATTTGACGATTACTCTTAATTTGCTCTGAGCTAATGTGCAATTCCACACCAACTTGTAATCTTAAAATTACACCTGTGGCATTTTTTTCCATTGTTCAGTTCCAGAAAATATCCATACTCCCCCCACAGAAGGGATTGGAATTTCCTGGGGGGTGGGGGNAAATTCCAGCAGAAGGGATGGGGGGAGTACCGTGAAGCACCCTGGAATGGAAAATCCCGTGGATTGGGGGTCAAACTGGGAAAAAAAAACCTCCTTGGGGGTATGGATATTTCCTGGAACTACATGTACACATTGTTGTAAGTTGCAATTCTAAGTATAATGTGTTCTCTCTTAGTGTTCTTTATATAGATTTAAATTTACATATTTAACTTATTGCAAAGTAGCCACTTCTATCTGATGGTTTTAATTAAGTATGCCACTGATCCTACTGCAAAATATAAAATACCAATTGATATGTTATCTATCCACTTACTCTGCACAGAATTCCTTGCTCTGTGGCAGACAGTAGTTGTGATCATAACCGCCTCCAGGAACTTTATCTATATCTTGTCCTATGGGCTTGGGTTTGGTGAAATCAAAAGCACTATTTGGGCTGGAAACTGAGCACTTCTCCCCTAACAAATAATGCAGAATACAATGTAACATTAACCTTGAGAGAATGCAACATATATATCACCTTAGTGAAGGCCAAATATTAAAACTGCTTTAATAACCATTTCAAAGTTACCCCAGGGAGTGTACTCCCAGAAAAATAGGGTGGGGTGTGGCCTGCTTCCCAAAACCCTTGCCCTATTTAAGACCAAAATCTCTGATTTACCCTAGTACCTATTTATGACCTGACCAAAAATTCGATTTCCTATCAAGACCACAGACCCTTAAATTAAATACCCTGTTTCAGACCTGCTGTATAAATAGTTCCCTAGTTCAGACCGATATTAAAGGCATTGAGAAGGGCTTTTGTTGTTGGATCAATAATGAAGAAAAAGTAGCTTCTTCTGGNCCCCCCCCCCACAGGAAAATTTCATCTCTCTACAGATATGTAGAGTTGTAATACTGGAAAGAAAGCTTTCCCTGCCGAGTTCATCCATTGGTTAATAACAACTTCAACCATGCAAATTATTGATTAATCCAGACCTTCACGTATATGAGTGTAAGTGTTGCTTGAAACTACATGAAAATCACAATTAATTTGTAGCATCTCTGTAATGATCTTTTAAAGTGACATGCAAAATCAATCAATGAACAAATAATAATTGAGTAAAATAATGGTTAGAAAATTAATAAAATAAAATAACAAATAAATTAAATTTTGTACATTGATAATAAAAACAAATGAACAAAAAATAATGAAGTGAATGATTAGAAAATAAATAAAATTTATAAGCAAATTTAAACATAATAAAAACAAAAAATAATGAATAAAGAAATAAACAAAAAGTACATGAAAATGTACCTGTGGGTATTTGCACATCATTTGTGGGCAAATAAGTGGGTGCATTTATCTGAGCTACATGATCCAAAACATCACGGTCCACCTAACACGTACAGACCAGTAGAACTTTGATTTCATGACTTACATGTATAACTATACCCCGTAACCATTGATAAATTGTCCATTTTGATTTTGTATCATGCATAGTGGTTAGGGTATTCAGAAATGAATGGAATGGGAGATGTCTTGTCAGGGTTGTTAAAAAGGGTTAAGTTCACTAGGTGCATACAATGAGGATACCATTAGGATGCTCAAGGTGGGCTCATATACAGTATTACGTAAGAGAGGGAAGAGAAGTACTACATAAGAGAATTAGCTCAAAAACAGGTATTATTCACTGGTTGAGTTCAAGAGAGAATGATGGGTAAGATTACGTTCATCTCCTTTACAGGCCTCAATTTCCTAATCCCTCTTTGAGCAGTTAGACTCAATAGACAATGCTATCTTGAGTAAATTGTGTGTTTCAAGGAGGATGAAAAATATTATGTGACTGTCTTTATTTAAATTTTAATTAGCTACTTGGGTTGTGCGCTTGAGCTAAATCTATATCACAGGATTGGCTACTTATTAATCTACCCCAATTGGGATTATGAGACCAGAGAAGTGAGCTAAAAAATCTTGAAAGGAATTTCCTTGGAATAAGGCCTATCCGGGGGGTCACTTCTCTAAAGTCGCTTCATCCTGTCTTGGTGAGGCTTAATGGAGAGGGATGCAGTCATAAAAAAACTTTTTAGTTATCTGGCAGCTGTAAAATCTCAATTTAGAAATTATCTAAAGAAGTTAACCGATTACACCTATTTTGGGAATCCAGGCAAATTATATAATAATATATAAAATTTGACCGACAACAAGCTTAATTAAGTCAATATCACAGTACCTGGCCAGCCAAATTAAAGTAGCCATGATTGGTGAGGTTGACAATGGTTTCAGCCTTTGTTGTTGCTTTGTAGTAGAGTTTGACCTCGTTGTTCTCAGTGAGTGTAAATGAAATACATGCCGTCAGTTCTCCAGGGTAGTTCTCATCGCCGTCAGGACTTATGTAGGTAAATTTAACTTTGCTATCTTCCTTAACCTCGCTTTTCCAATTATGCTATAGAGTGGAAGAAATTCAACAACTTTATCATTTCCAAACTACTATTTGGCATCTAAAGGCTTGCCTTTTAATTAATAAGTAATTAATGATTTTACTTTTTGCTTATTAAACCATCATCAGTCAGAATAACTACACATACAAACAATAAGCAAGCCCTGAAAAAAGAAGCAAACAAAATGGTTTAAAATCAATCAGTCAATCACTATTTGAATTTCCCAGTTTATCAGCTGATTGTCTGATTGGAAACAATGTTTGGCTTGGTTAATGTTGTAACAAGTGGAACAGGGACCTTGCTCCCTCAAGGCTGATTTTGGCTTGTTAGGAGTAAACATTTTGTCTCTTGGTTTTCTTTTAAAGTGTGCTTCAATGAACATTATAGGTCTGGATGAATGAGAACTGAGGACAGTGCTTAAAACTTATAGTCCACAAAAACACCCCTCCCACAGATGGTTTGATTTTGGTTTGACCTTCCCCCATTCCCCATCTCTCTGGAAATTTAACTTTTGCTTCATACGTTCCTTTAAAAATTTGGGCTTTTGAGACTTCCTGGAAAGCCATCAAGAAGTCCCTTCTTGTGATACTGTTTTATGATATACATTGTACAAGGTGGTTTGAGCACCCTTCAACATGCAAGTTCTGTTGAAAGATGAAACTCCTATTTTGTGACTATTCAAGACAAATGAAAGTGGCACTGTTTATTATGCTGTACAATGGTGGCTAACTTTTGACAATTTTTGGATGAAACTTTAGTGAAAGACCTGATTCTTGAAAAGGGAACATGTGAAAATATGTTTTTCCAATTGTAACTATTTAATTTGTAGCTCACTAGTACAAAACGTAACTAAGTAAATTTTTATCAAGACAATGCAAACCTTGTTAAATCCAACCCAACCTCCATGGAGTGTGTTTGGTGGAGCATTGATAGCTAATTGGTATTCTTTACCACTGAGAGAGAATTTCCCATTGGCTATCCTGTTGGCAACTCTTCCAATTGTTGCTCCAAAGTAAGGTGGGTTACTCAGGTAGTCTGCCAACAAGAATAATTATATAAATCATAATTAACAAGTAAATAGAACTAAATAAAAGTCTCAGCTCCTGCTAGTAAGGTGTGGTTCCCATGGACTTTAATGGACTCATTATTTGAAGCCTTGAACAGCTAAAGTGCCTCAATGTATCCATTTGATAGAAAGTGAAAATAAAAGGTAACAAATGGTGTGTAATAGTGCCCAGTTTTCCATACTGCCAGTTTTACACCTAACTTTTGTGACTGTAGCATGAAGTGACTACTACTCCCTCCTGGATGAGATAAAAGTCTGCATGCAAGCCAAGTGGCCCTTCAGGCCCGGGCTTATCCTGATCTCTGTAGGATGAAGTGACTAGGAATATTTCTACTCCCCCCTGGATGAGATACTAGTCCATTGCAGGGTTACCCCTAGTAGATTAAATTTCCCAGTACCCATTTACAAGTACACCTGGGTGGAGAGAGACACTGTGAGAGTGTCTTGCCAAAAGCTGCAACACAACTTCCCTGGCCAGGGTTCAAACCCGGACCACCTGATCAGGAATTGAGCGCCCTAACCATGCGACCACCTGCACCTCCACCCTGGATGGGAAGCTAGTTCAAATTCAACACCTGGCCAGCTTTAAATTTGCCAATAAAGGTACTGTGCACCTCTATATGCTATGTACATGGGTAGAGAGAGGCACTGTGAGAGTTAAGTGCCTATTAATGCCCCTGAAAACACAACGCAATGACCCTGGGTAATGTAGGACTGGAACCTGGACCACTGTATCAGGATTCCGGTGCACGGACCATTAGGCCTCTGCATCACACTGGAAAGTCAGATGAGCTAAGTTTGATTTGCAGCTCCAGTGAGAGTAATTTGGTTCTTTCTCCCATGGACTCACAAATATCTGGATCATCGAATGCAAGCTTTTGACTGCCACACTACCTAAGGAAAACTGAGTAACATATTTCTAGCACAATTTTTCAATTGAATTATAATTATTTTGCAATTTCCATCTCACCCTTAAGGTTATCATATCCTAACACAACATCATCTATCTTTCCGTTTCTGAAAAAAGAAAAAAAAAAAAAAATTTAAAAAAGCATCTTTGAGGCAAATTACTTACATGGAGTGATACACGTATTTATGACCTGACCAAACATTTGATCCCTTTTTAAGACATGACCCTTAAATCAATACCTTGTTTCAGACCTGCCTTTTAATTTAATAAAATTAGCTCCTTAGTTCAGACTGATGATAAAGGCATTGTGAAGGGCTTTTGCTGATGGTCTTATCGATTTAGTTATGAAAAAGTAGCTTCTTCTCAAAAACATACCCAACTCAAGCTAGACTAGAGTGCAAAAACAATACCCTACTTGGGACCAAATTGATACGTCCCTATTACTGACCAAAATGGCTAAAAATCCATACACCTTTAAGCTGCACACACCTATATAGCCCATATAAAGGAGTACCCCCCCCCCCAACCTATGGGGTTCATTGCATGATAACACGAATATACTGGTTACATGTTTATGCTGCATGACAGTTTATGGCTTTTATATATATTTAATTTTTCTACATGAGTGACTACTGGGACAATCAATACTGGACAACTAAAAACAACAAAAAATTCCTGTAAATATACATGTATATAATTTGTAGACAAGTTATACAGTCTCTCAAGCCAACAGTGTATCGATGCCCACAGGAGGACACAACTGGATTCACAGTCCATTTAAGCCTCTGCCAAATGTAATTATAATAAGTAGAGAGGTTAATGAAGCAACCAAGGATGGACAACTTCTGAATGACATTTTCATTGGAAGAAAAACTTTTTATGCCCTAAGTGGAATTCGAACCCATGCCCCCCCTGATTACTGGCTGGGTGTGATCATTGGGTGTATATAATTTACATCCATCCACTAAAGATTTGAGTACAGTAGTTCACCTACTTGTTTAATTTATACATATATATATCTTTAGTTCGTATAGTGTGATCGATTGATCACACTATACGAACTACTGATACTCCTGGGTTCAAACCATTTACTGTGTTATATATATTTTTAATTGGATAGTTGCCATGAAGTTCTTATCACATATGCCAGCCTTGTGAAAAGTTCAACTTGGAAAAATGCTGCCAGCAGAATGTCGGACGCAGTCAACACTGATACTAAGGTGCACTTGTGCAGAATTATTTACCGAAGCCTAAATTTACCTATTGGATTTTTGATAGTACTGTTGGTTACCTGGCAGAAGAGCTAATGACTGAGCAGAATATGCAAATTTTACAAAAAAAAATCCACAGGCTAAATGGGCCAATTTACAACAGTGTCAACGTACAAGCAGGACTAATTTAACTTAATTCAAGCCTACCAAGAACTGATGTAAACCCTAAAAAGAATGGACAATGTAGCCATATTTAGCACTGTATTCCGAGCATTGGTCCGTCAGAGGATTTTTGTTCTCGTACTTGTATAGATTTATAACCTTATTTTGATAACGTTAGACCCCATCCGAGGCAGGGGGTCTACATCAAGTTTAAAAATATAACTTGGGTCCTTGCATAAATCACGGGAAATAAAGTAAGCATTTCACGTTTCACGAAAAACCAGGGGCATTTTTCACGCGAAGTTACTAAACTGATGAAACTTTGGAACATTAAAGCAAGGCTGTGAAATGAGGAAACTCCCCTCATTTCACAGCCTTGTACGACATCTTCTCCCGCTTTCCCACACATAGCAAAACAAAACTGCTCTCCATCAAAGAGTTTTTTTATGCAAAGGGAATGATTCGTAAGTCCAGTTCTGAATTAGACTAGGGGACTGGACTACGGACTGAACTACGAACTGGACTCAGGGGACGAATCGAACGGATTTGCTTTCGATGTTACCTAACATTAGTTTTTTCACGTCGAAAATAATAGAAAACAAAATAGCATGACGGTTCACGACGAACTAAACGTTAATTTCTCATTTCACAGAAATTGTTGGAACCCACTTCACGGCTACCAACGAAATCGCGATTTACGCGAAAAAAAAAAAAAAATTGGCCATTTCCCAATACTCGCGGGAAGTCACGAATTACGAAATACCCTTGACCTAACCGCGCCCATTCACGCTATAACCTCGGCCCTTCCTCTTAATTTCCCCTGTTTGTTTATCTACGAAGGTTGATTTCCTCTGAATCTCAAAGCCAAATTTCAGGTGAATCTGGGTGAATTGCACTGAGTCTTTTCTCACTGTACATACCACAGTAACTGGGAATTCAATAAGAGCCTTGCACGTGGTGAAAACGCCCGTTTAGAAAGCGAGATACCGAGGACTTTCTCTCACCTATCAGGGCATTTCAGTGAAACGAATGTAGCTCCAAACGATATCACATCCAGCTCCAGCTCGTTGCTGTTCTTGATCGTGTATCTGATGACTTCCTCCCCGGATTCTGTTTTGCCAAAGACCTCTTGTGACACTACCATTTTGAGCTCTTCTCAGTGCAGATAATTACCATTCCACTCCGTGCGGACTTGTTATTCAACTCCGTGTCAACGAAGAAAAAATATTAAGACAATTTTAAAACTTTCGATCCTTGCCCCGAGGCATTTTGTGACGTGTATGACAGCTATTACTTCTGACCGCGCGAGGCTTGAAACTGAACGCCTGGAGCTTTAGACTCGTCACGCATTCCTCACCAACGAAGAGGAAAGATTACGTGATGACCAGAAGGCTAGGATGACCGGGAAAAATCGAAATTGTCGGAAGATACGATCGCTCGCCAAAAACAATGAAGTTTCCTTAGACCTCTGAGTGGTTTCCTAATATTTCCCGTTCCTTAAAACTTCGCACACTATCCTGCATGGGCATCAGACCTTCTGATTCTCGCCAGTTAGCCCGTGTGGAAGGAGATCGCGCTTCGCGGTTCTCGTTCCCCCTCTTCCACCTCTTTGAACGTCTGTCATGCAGGCTACACGCCAGTGAGCGCATAAGGCCGTCACCAGGAACCCACAATTAAAAATTATTCGAAGAGTCATGAATGGTGCTGTACAGCACCATATGTGATCCCCAGACCGGAAATGATCCCCAAATTGGACCGCAAATGATCCCGAACCGCCAAATTATGCTCCCTCATCATAGGCCTGCAATGCGTGCAGAGAGCTAGATAATAAAGCTCTGATCCCCGATGTGGACCGCAAATGATCCCGCCGGAGAATGAGGAATGGCATGGAGTTTGTTCTTCGGGAGGAGGTTTCAATTTTTAACCTAAACAGAAACAAGTCATAACTGACCATATTCTATAAAGGTGTAATTCTCAGGATAAATAGTTTCTCCGATAGATTACCGTAAAAGCTCCGCAGAATGCCTTGTAATCGACTTTGCCTATATATAACCATAACATTTCATAACAATTTAACCGAAGCCAAAATTATGAACGGAAAAATCAGATCACTCACTTGATGTTCTGCATATCAATTTTCTAAATCGTGTTTAGTTTTTTCGCCCGCATGTTTGGTCATGCCCTGAGTACTCGAGACTTTTCAAGTGCGGTTTCCGCTTTTGGTTAATCACGCGAAACAAAAACAAAACAAAACAAAACAAAACAAAAAACTGATACCAAAGGTACTCTTGTTACTAGTATTAATTTTGAAAATCAGTAGCAAGAAATTTTAGCGGATATCGGGCTGCAGTGGTAACCTGTGCATCAGGTTAAGGTTTCTCGTGGAGCAAGACTTCGTTGGTCTGGAAATCTTACACGAAAATGGCTTACGGCTGCCATTCTACGTTTAGTTCGTAAGATATCAGGTTTCTCGGTTTTCCGCATATGTTTCCCACGGGTAATGAAGGTAAGAGATCGCTCAACATAATATGCAAGTTGACCAATCAGCGCTCCTGTCCAGATCCAGTACACGTTTACATCTTCAGCATGGAATTTCAGGCTGTAAATTGCAAATGCGAAGGACAAACCGGCATGGAGTGTTGAGATGCAGACTTTCTAGCTCACAAAATATCAGTCGTAGGACTAAAAGGTCATGAATATGTCACGATCGCTCTTAAGGCCTGTTTACATGAAGGGAGGGTTCCCCGGCTAACCGAGCTATCCTGGGAGGGCTAACTTTTCATACGTTTTTGAGAAAACGCATTGAAGCGTTTACATGCTAGACAGGGTAGTCCGCCTACCCGGGGCACTCTGTCTACTTGCCCGGGGCACCCGGCTAGGCGGGATAACTTTTTACCGTGTAAACGGTTTGTGCCGAGCTATCCCGGTTAGCCGAGGTGAGATAAACCGCGAAAACATGGCGGCACGAGGTGAATTTTTTCGTAGTTACCATTTGCCAGTGTTATCTCCCGAACAGAATGACAGTCAATCTGAAGAGATCAATGTAACATATTGAGTCTCAGGCAGGCCCGTGCCCGTGCAGGAAGCTGAAATAAGATGTCAAATAGTTTCTTTGGTCGGCCATTTTGTTTGTTGTGCTTAGCGGCCGCTCAAAAGACAGCCCACGCAGCCTACTCACTGTCCCGGTTAGGTGAGTTGCATGTAAAGGCGGACTACGTGTCAACCCTTCTAGCCGGGTAGTCCGGCTAGCCGGGGCACCCTCCCTCCATGTAAAACAGGCCCTTATTGCTGGTAGTACAAACACAAATGTAAAAAAGTTGTTTATTTCTTCGTTGTGGTAGCGTTAAGCTATTCTTGTTGTAGATCGAGCCAATTGAGAAATGGTGTCGCTGTTTACGACCTTTCTCTCCGTGATGTTTTAGAAGAATTGTCAAGAGAAAATGAGATGGAATTATTTATCTTGAGAATTGTATTTAAATTGTAATTTACGTTGTCAGTATCTTGTTGCTTGTTTTTCAGCCAATGGAAGTCAAATGTTATTTTACAAGTTCTATGAAAAAAATTTTCTTGGATTTGGTGGTCTCAAGCACAAACGGCTTTCGTCTTCTCCAGATATTTTTGCTGATGAATTAATGAAACAACCTTCAGTCAATGTTCCTGAAATATTTCCCCAGAGTAGAAGACTCAAAATAACATTATTGACCAAAACACTTTTATTTTCTAAAAGTTTCCTTGCATTTTTTGTCAATAAAATTTACGCTTTGTAGAGCAATTTTAATAGCAAAATTGCTTCAATTTTTTTTGTTTTATACCTACATTTTAAACACCATTTAAGATCAGTGTCGATGCTGATTTAAACTATTTGGTATTATCTTAAATAAGTTGCAAGTCAATAATGAAATATGAAGTAATATTCTTTCAAATCAATATTAAAAAGTAAGTTGCAAGACTCGGTCAACGCAGGAGTAATGATATGACTGAAATAATAAATTGAGGTACATAGCAACAATTTTACAAATACTTTTTTTTGAAAGGCGTTTTTTTGGACATTTTATGCTTATTAATGAAATCTCAACCTAGCTTTTTTTCTTCGCCTGGAAAGTGGGCCTCACTATAAAGAGCATTGTTTGTGTAATGCATGCCCCTTCTGAAAAATTAATAAAAATAAGGACCCAAGTCAGAATATCGCATTTATATCACGTTACAGACGCCAAATGTTTCATGCAAATCTTAATCCTTAACAACTTCGAACGCTGTTGCTCTTCATATCGTTCCTTCTTCGATTGGCTACTCAGTCCAGTCCATTCTTCGCTTTCCCCGGACGGAAAAGCGCGCGTTAAGAACTGACCAATGGCACTCTTGATGACAAACTCGGGTGTTTGACTCATCATACGAACTGGCACGCGTCTGGGAAGTGCCTCGTCCTTCTTTGTTGTCACTTTAGCGTACATCAATAGAAACTCTCGAATCATATTTACCTGGGCCAAGTTTTTGGCTTCGTCTCTATGCTGTGAAATTTCCGGGCAAGAGATGGCGAATTGCTTGCGCGAAACTTTTCTAGAAGACAAGGTGGATATATATCCCTTGGTAGTAGCAGGCCGAATGACTCTTGTTTCTCCTGTCTGTATTTCTAGCTTTGGCCTTCTAAGGATGGGAGAACTTACGCTTCTTTGCGTCTGAATTGACGTGTTGCTTACACACGATCTTGCTGACGAGATGCGCCTCGCTGTGGGAACTCTTTGTTCTTGACGTGCAAGGTTTCGTTGGCGCGCTCGAGGTTGCGGAGAACTGGTGGGAATGTGGCTTCTCTCGGACGTTACAGTTCCTGCGCTCGTTGAGCGCTCGCGGTTTACCGAAACTTGCCGAGAATTCGCCGATTTAACACTTCGCACGTCGCCGTCTTGCGATTCCTCCACTGCTTTGTCGTTTTCCACTAATTGTTCCATTTGTTCTTGTCGATATTGATCGGCAGTTGCATCCTGTTGTTCACTGATTGTTTTCTCAAGATTTGCTATGTCATATCCCGACTCGGATCTTACAAAACGCACGCTGCTTCTTCGTCTCTTGATTATATTTTGCAGCGATTCCTTCAACTGCGGATCAGTGAGTTTGTTGAGCACCTCTTTTTCTTTCAATGAAATCTCTTCCGGAGGATATATCTTTTCGGGATCTACTACTACATGTTCTGCCTCACCTGTGATAAAAGACGCTTCTTCGCTGCTGCAGTTAGAGTTTTCCACATCCGATTTGTTATCAATGTCAATTTCTGGAATTGGAGTCTCGTTTTTAAGATTTGTACGAGCTATTGATGTAGAATTCTTCCCTAAGTCCATTTCTGCATAATCCTCGACGTTTTTTTCCACAGTTATGCGAGGAGTTGGAGCGGCCATGTGCCTGCTATAAAGATTTCTCGTAAACTCATTTAAGCAGCTTGGGATTTGTTTCTTGGAGTTTGATGGTGCCCCTCGCGATTCTTTTCTGCAGTACTTTTTCTGCTTTTCAATTCTCTTCGTAAAAACTTCTGTATGAGCTAAAGAGTTTGAAACTCTTCCTAAAGACTTCGCCGAGCTACCTCGCTCACCTCGGGCTTGTTTTCTTGTTGAAAGTTGTTTCAATCTTCCTTCGGGACATACTGTGTTATAGCCGTCATTTTTCAGTTGATTTTGCAAACTTTTTCGCATGGACTTCATTTCAAAGATGACCTCGTGTGGATCTCTTACTTCTCCCGATGTCGGAAATTCGTGTACCGTGCTAGCCTGGTGTAACCTTTCCAAAATGGCCACTTTCTTTGCGTTGCTAGCGACCATCTTTTCACTGGCTAAATTTAAACGGTTAACAACGCTCCCTAAAGTAACATTTTCTCCCTCTCGCTCTTTGTACTTTCTGCTTGTAGTTGAAGCGTCCATTACTCTGCCTTGCGAAATCATTACTTTCCAGGAATTGTAATGGTTTAATCAACAATTATGGCAAATAAACACATTACTTTGACAAATCGTCTCTTTGTACGTTGTAACGTTGCGCCAACGTTGCACATTCAGTTGTTTCAGCGCGCCAAGCGACAATTTAATCGACGAAATTCGGTGCTGTCACTTTGTTGTTCCTGTTGTTCGTCTACCCGTTGGTTGCTACGCTGGTTGGTAAAACCTATCGACTGAAGAACTTTGGCGCTGCAGTCATCCCGAGAAAGCACACTTTTAAACGGAGATTTCTTTCAGAAAAGTTGTTCTCTCAATGCTCTCGATTAAGGGCCACACATTCGCACAAGTTGAACTAAGCCTTGGTAGATAGTAAATATATCACACGATTTCACATGAAAATTAGCGTTGCCTTTAGAGTGTTCTGACTAATTGAACCTCATTTGCACGTTAATCCCAAGCCGGAGATTAAGCTACAATTGTTCAGACGACGACAGCTTGTTTTTATGCGTAATTCTTTTGTATTATGGTGGCACAAATGGACAAAGCGCGATTCAACATGACTGTTTTATATCTTTTATTCTCGTGTCATTGCTGAAAGAACTGTTTTTCGGATGTTGTAAGCCTGAACGTTACAGCTGTCTCAATCGCGTAAGATTAGAAGAGCTTATGTTGCGAGGCTCTCAATGAAATCAGTTTACATTTACGTGATACATGACACGGTATTGTTTGTGTACCTAGAGAGAAATCAAGGCTTAACATCTCTGCCCGTTAAACAAACATTACTTCAGCGAAGCTCATGAGGATGACAGGGATGTCATCGTTAATTAACGGGCTTTAATGCAAAGGAATGATCATGGGAAAGATATTGAAACAAATTTAACAACCTCATTTGGCAAGTAGTTGAGATTGAGTGGAAACGGCCGATTTTGAACGCTGAATGCTACAGTCTATTAACTTGTCGAGTGATTTCCGCAGTTGAAACAGACGCGGCAACCCTCGCAATTGCGTGTACGTGGACATTAATAAATTGATTTTGCAGAAGCAGCCGCACAAAGCTACAAACGTTCACTGTGTTATGTTGTAGTTTTTAGGAAGGTTGAGCGTTTTAAAGGTGCTTAATTTAAGAGGTTCTTTAATTAGTTATCGTGAGAAGTCGAAACAAGAGAAGAAAATCTGCTATCAAATTTTTAGGGTGATCGCCTTTAGTAACAGATCTTGCGCGCAAAATTGCACTCGGGTTTTGAGCGTTGTAGACTAATTTTTCTCGCCCCAAGGTCCGCTTTCCAAGCGCGTAGAAGTCTTAGAATTAGAAGCGAGCTGCACTGTAGAGTGTAGAATAGATTAATTACAGAACGTGTATACTAAGGTGAAAGCCACCAGAGTCGCTGGCTCTTTTTATTCATTAAGAGTTTCACATTAACCGATGACCCCACTTGGGAAATAATTAATTGCTTCCGTCTCTGTATCACTTTGTTTAATCGCCTGAGTACTTTTGTTTAACGGGATTTGTACAAACAATACTTTAGAAATCTCGAGAGTGATGCGTGCCTTGGTATGCAAACACGATACACCGATGTGTTTGTTTTCTGTCCGTAGTAAGGGGTAAACATTTCAAAGTTTAAGTTTGCGAAAAATTCAACAACGGCGTGTAGTTTGAAAGAAACTAGCAGTTGGAAAGGTTGTTGTGCTCTTGATTTTTTCCAGCGACACATTTTTTGTACAATTTTTGGTTGACGCGCGTTGAAATCACCTCGCGTGTGTGTTGGATTTGAAAATGGAACAAGAAATATTGGAGTTATATCACACTTCTGGAGACCCTGCGCAAGGCAAGCGAGAAGCCAGCGAATGGCTAGATCTTAAAAGTCGAGTGGAAGAAGACAAATTCCGTAAATTAAGCGTTGATTTGGAAAGGAGAAGGGCATGGAGGTTTCTTTACCACGCAGAGGAAGAGAGAAAAGTGGTTAAAGAATTGAATAACTTGCAGAGAGACAAGCTTCGATTTGAACGAGAGAAGCAACTCCGTCAGCGCAATTCCTTTTCATCCTCGCGTGAAAGGCGGCATTCACTGAGGACGCCATTGTCAGAAGTCAACACACAGCTACCGATGAACCAGAAGTCGTTTGGTGGCTCTGCTTCGCTGGCTTTCGATCCCACATTAAAAAAAAGTTCTCGCCCTTCACGAAGAACAAGCAACGAACAGACCGTAAGCTATGGTACGGTTAGAAAGGCTTCGGAGGATTTGAGCGCGTCAAACAGTTTTCCTTACCTTGACGAGGAAGATGTGCAGCAATTTCAGAAGTCGTGCAAGTCTGCCGCGAAAAGCGAGTGCCGACGCTGGGGAACCGTGTGGTTTTACGCAAAGAAAGAGCAAGACATCGCCAACGAGAGTGAAAAACGTTGGACCGCGCTTTTACTCAAAACCGAAAAAGAGAAAATGAGAATTTTAAGCGAAAAAGGAGTTGCTCTTCTAGAATTCGGATTGGAGAGGAATCCTCAAAGTGGAAACTTTGGAAATGACACTAGAAATACTTCGAAAAGCGCGAGAGTGGAAAATGGTGTTAAAATGCCGGACAAAAAGAGGAAAAACTCCAAAGAAACTGCAATGGGATATACAGAAGACGAGAGGTTAACTTGCCACAAAGCGTTTAGCCTTCCCCAAGCAATTGCTCGAGAGCAGGAAGAGGAAAGCTCTACAGATGAAGTGTCCCAAAACAAATCAAGGCTGTCCTCAGTAGATTGCAAACATATCACCTCAACCTTACTTGAAGAAGGCGCTCAAGAGAAAGGCTACAAAACGTTCAAAGAAGAGTCGAACAGTTTTACCGGAAGAACAAACTGAAACTTCGAAAAATACCTCTGTTTATCGCGTGCCAGTTATTTCTGAACTCGAGATGGAAAAGGGCAGTTCCACTTCAAGTGAGGAATCGGAAAACTATCCCAGACGAAAACGAGCTGTTTTCTTTTTGCCTAGCTTGACGAAGGAAATGATTTAGAAGTTAAAGGAGCTACGTCACGCGGTTTTCGCATCTTGAGAAGTTTAGCCGAAATTTTTCAAATTCGTCGTTTGTAATCCGTATCAATCTTCCACATCCTTGTTCCTTTATAGTTTATTATTATCTCTATAGCGTCTGTATACCTTAGTAAACTATCATTTTGAGGTTTTCGCAGTTAATTTAAAGGTAATTTTGTACGATACGTGGCCAAAATACCTCATACCTGAATACCGTGTCTGAGCTCCTTTAAGGTATTCAAGCACAGGTGACGGAAATTCAAAAAAAGGGAAGTTCATTAAAAATCTCTGGAATTTTTTAAAATTATTTAAGCCATATTGATATAAAACTGCATTTGCTTTCTCAATATCGTGCCACTGTGCATGACAAACATCGCTGACATTTTTGTCTGCATGGCTAATGAGTTTGAGCAGTAGTTTAAATAAACGTTCAATTATTTGTTTGCAACAGTTTTCTCCCATTAAGACTTCTCGCTCCAAACTTCATTATGCCATTGTAATGTTAAGTATCCACCTACTTTCAAGCTTTTTCACCACCACTCTCATAAACCGCCGAAAGATAACTTCGCGACGGATCGGATCGGATCGGAAGGGATCGGTATCGAAGGTTGGAAAATCTTGATCCGACTGCACTGATTAATTTAGCTTAAGAACAGTGGCATTTAAAAAATAAATGACCTTGTGATCCTATCCGAGTCCGTCTGGTCGATCCGTTCAATTTTCTCAATGCTCAGTTAATTCGTTTCCTGTTGGAATCGAAGATAGCCATTAGCTATTTGCTCGCATTTGCCAACAGCCTCTCCAAGGTGGCTAGCTAACGCTATTTTCACAAGTGAATCATTTATGAGACAAGTTTTACCCGATCAAAATAGCTCTCTGTTTATTTGTTCTATTTTTGCGTGTTGATACGGAACAACACGCGACAAGTTACCTACTGAAACAATTCGAACTTCGCAAAGTAAAAGAGTCGTGGTTTTTAATTAATATGAAAGCAACTTTCCAAGGACCTACCAGAAACGTTTCTTCGATGAATGTGTTAATAGGTGAAAAAGTACCAGAATGACCTATGATCGATGGTATTGTTTTTATATCCAAAACAGATTCCCATAACTTTTCGCACGATTTCATCATGGGTGTGCTAGCCAGAATTTTTACAACTCTTTTTCAGTTTTTTAAAGGTGAAAGGTTTTTTAAAAGGTAAATCACATGAATCATGCGGAGTTATCTTTATATACCATAAACATATTTCTAGTACAACTATTGCAGCACCTTTTGGGACTGATTTTTAGAGCCACGTTTACCGCAAACGGCAAACGGCTAGAGGTCACGTGACCAGAGCTAGAGGAGGTATTCGAACGTCAAGAGGTAGGTCAGTTTACCTCAAACTTCATTGCCTTAAATTTTATTTTATACCAAGTACAAATGTTGAGATAGAATAAAGTAACCCTTTTTCTATAAGTTGGTTATAATTTTTAGGCAAATAAGCCATTACCTAGCCTTTTGCTGTTCTGTGTAGAAAGGCACTATCCTACACATAACTGGAAATCCAATATGGCGGCGGTTTAAGTTGAATTTGTGTTTTTGATGCTTTATTTTAAAAAGCTACACATGTTACAAAGCATACAATTTTCTTGTCTAGTGTTTTTTTTTTTTTTTTTTTTNAATCGTGGGTATTGACATGATCAGGTCATGCACCTTGAAACTACGGCAAATTTGTTGTGCCAGCTGGCATCAAGGAAATAATTTTTTTGCATTTTTTTTTTTCTATTTTTTTTAGTTTAGTTTTTTTGATGGCGTAATTTTGACAGTTTCCAATGCATTGACAGGATAATGTCCATTCGCTCCAATTTGCTACAATCTAAATCGACCAAACGTCTAAACGGCGAACGGCCGGAAACGTCTAACCTAAAACCGTAGTTACACGTTTGCGGTAAACGTCGATCTTAAGTTCTCTATTGAAGCGATACTGAACCGGCTGCAAAATCGCGCGGCCAGAGTCGATCGTTTTAAAATTGCCTTTTGATTCGAGCTCAAGAATTTTTAAAATAAATTATCGACAAGTTGTATAAACGTTGCTCAGAAACAATAGACGTTACTGCATAATGTTTTGAGTAATTCAAAAACTTAGCTCGGTGTCAGTTAGAACAACTTTTCGGCCCTCCACATGTAAAAACTATACATTTAGTTAGCAACAATTATTTGTTATCGACAAGCAGAATGTGAAAAGAGTTGTCTACAGCTGAACGCTAATTTTTAAGTTATCCACAACTAAGACGTTTGCCTTTTCAAAAAATGAAATTGCTTTAGTTAGTTTTTGACCGTTTTCCATTGTGTGGGAATCATTGTTTAGTTGTGGACAACTAACTAATCTCGCCAAACAGAGTGAGATCTGGGCGTGAGATTAACAACTAGCGAAACTGCTTTCTCAGTGGACATTGGTTTGAGCATGCGCATTGTGTTTGAGCATGCGTATTGAGCGTTATTTCCCAAGGCCTCTCTAACCCGATTTGGACATCGACAACTAAGAACCCCGATGCGTGAAATGCCCACATCGGACACAATTTGTTGTCGACAACTAAACGTCTAATCTGTTACAGTGACTCTAATCTGTTACAGTGACTCTTCTCTGGAAGAATCTGCCCAAGGCATGAGAAATGCTTGCGCTACTGGACAGTTTAAACAATATCATCGGAATTTCCACTCGGCAGTCACGTTATTTGAGCAGTTTCTTTTTTATTTTTTTTTGTTACCTTTTAACTTTGATGATTATATTATGTTGTTACATTAAATATATATTAAAAAAACAACTGTATGCATAAAAAACTATGCGCACCACACAAGAGATGCTGTGAATATTTATGTCTTGACTTTTATGACAGCACTAGTTTATTTTTCATAGGTAAAATATTTCATCAATAGTTGGTAGTATTTATGTTTCTTCATTTTTGAGAAAGAGCCTTACCCGAAGGCAGGGATTTTTGTTTTGAATAATGATGATGTATGGCTGGCTACAAGTTTCAATTCTCAAAATGATCAATTCACAAAACGTGCTCGCTGGTTCGGCACTGCGCTTGCTTTTGTGATGTCGCAACCCACATTAAAGAGCATCGCTGGTTAGAGCAAATATATCAATTCTTCTCGAATTACTACTACACGTATAACTATATTTGTCGTAATTCTGTCTTATCCGTTTTATTAACTTGAGGTCCTTGTGCGACTAACGTATTATAGCTTTTAACTAAATTTCGTATTCAATTTGATATCGTTGCCTAAAACAGCGACTTCCAGATTTGAACAGCTTTGCGAATTCTTAGATAGGCAGCGTGTTAGTTAGCTATTTTCTGCTGATGTTTGTGCAAAGATAAAATAACAATAGGGAGGGAAAATTAACGTTGAAACAGCTGCATTTGTGGTTTGTTTTGCAAATTGCTTTAATGGACCTTTCTTTGTTGAGAATTCTGTTGTTAACTCGTAGCTTTTACTCCGTATCATAGACCTTGAAACATCGTCTGGAAGAAACAGCGATATCCGTGAATGTGTATGCCGCTAAAACGCGTTCCTGAACGTGCTGTAACCATTTCACTCTGAGCGAGTTGAACTGATCATACGCTTCGACAGGGAACCAATCAAATGGTGCTAAGCTTGTGAAATTCAAATATAAGCTAACCACACACTGTTAACGACGGAAAACAAACATAGCTCAAAAAATAAGCGCAGTGTTAACTTTTTATGTTTGGCGAAAACGGGCAACTGCAGAATGAACTTCAAAGTTAATTATTTTGGCGTCTTTTAAGCGAAATTCTCGCACTTGGTTCTGAAGGATAAAAAACATCGACAAAAGAGATGTCCTTACATGAATTATCAAGGAAAAAAAACACCCGTTAAAACAGTTGATCCATTAAAGCTAAGCTTCTTAATTTAAATACGGCAAGCTCATTATATCCATTTTGTTTTTATCGTGGGGATTTACCAAATGTTTCTTCGCGGTATTTCTAATAGAAATCGGTTGACTTCCAGTAAAGGTCAAAATATTTTTTCAACATTGTGCTCATTCGTGGAACTGTAACGGCAAAACACGCCCAGCGACTAAAAGAGTATATATTTTTTTGCATTTTACTTTCCTTCCGGCGTTTTCTAATATCTGTCACATTACACTTGATACCTGTTTTTACAATTTTTTTGCTATAAACATTTTACTTTCTCTGTCATCGAATCATCGAGTACTGAGTCCTTGGGAATTAAATGCGTTGCCTCACAACCGCACATGATATGGGTCGCGCGAACTGCAGTGGTGTAGAAGTAGAAATAAAAAGGAATACATTAGATTGTTAAGGGGGAGTCTACAACCTGCTGGGTCAGCCTGTGTAATAGTGAATTAATTAAAAGATCCAGTCGATAGTACGTTAAATGAAAAAAAAAAAAAAAAAAAAAAAANTTTTTTTTGCTTGACAGTAAATACAGCGAAATTATGCAAGCCTCCTGCTTGTGTTATAACATAATATAATTTTTTGTCTAAAGGAAAAAAAAAAAAAAAAAAAACCTTTTATCAGATAGTGACATTCTTGATAGAATGCCTACTGGCAAGACTAGGACATACGAACACTTTGTTTTTGACATGTTTTTCTTTTGGCAGAAAACTCCTATCATTCCTATCAACGATATTTGCTTTGGAAAAAAATAAAAATAATTACGGACTGTCGGGATATTGGAAGGAGATCGGAACGTTCGTAAATTCCTGGAATGTGCTTATTTTAATTAAATCGCTCAATGATGTAATATCAGGCGAAAGATGTTCTCCGTGTTAATTTTAACGAACTAAACCTAAGTTGGCGCTTGTTTTATTTTTCTTTCTCCACTGCCAACTTGGCTCGAGTAGATGAAAGCTTTCGTCTCGGACTGATTGTCAAACAGTATTATTTATTGTTACGTATAAAAATATACTTGCGTTACTCTAGAATTAAATTAATGTTGTATAATTTTCTTACCCGTTTGGTTTTAAAATGGCAGGCCAAATTTTAGTTTTCGTAAGACAAAGAGTATCGTAGGTCGCATTTCTGTCCTAACCATGTATAAGCAGTTTACTAAGCAAAATGTTGAAACTGAAGAGGCAATTAAAAAGGAAATATAAAATAGAGACGAGCATCATCTTTCCGTGAGCCTTGTTTGAGTATTCCATCGCTGAAAAACCACTGATACCTTTGTCTCAGTTGATGTACGAAGCGTAGACCTCTGTAGTATCTATTTTATCTTCGTCACTGTCATAACATATATTTTGATTGTATGAAGTTCTCGAAGTATTTTCTCTTTCTTCACTCAAGTTATGTTCGTGTTCTAATGGCGTGGGATTTGACGGCCTGTCCGAAGCAACGTCCGTCGAAGAGAAACTGTGATATTCCTCAGTGCTTTTATCTCGTGGAATTGCTATGGTGCCGTTACTACGGTTTTGAGAATTTCGTCCGTAAGACGCGCGTGGCCGCTCGCGGTCTCGGGGCCGCGCGATTTTCGGTGTGCTGTAAATGTCTGGAACTTTCGGCTTGCCAAGGGACGCAAGTTCCTCGATTCCACGAAATTCTTTTCCTTTCAGAAGTGTCGGTCTGCTGAGGACCACGTCGCCCTCTACAGATCTGTGTTTTCTCTGAGTCCGATGCGGTTCGAATCCGAAGTTTGAATCAGAACCGGAATCACTGAGAGAATCTTGCATTTTTCCATTCAAAGGAGGAAGTCTTTTCAATTTGTCACTGCTTATGTTTAAAACTGGATTTGCGGGGTTTTTAAGCAGTCGTTCTTGCTCTACAATCAGCCGCAAAACTGCGGTTGATTCCTCGTCGTTGAATTTACTTCGCGGAGGAATTCTGCGGCAGTTATCAGTTGAATTCTCCATGCTTCGTGGGCTCTTGTCTTACATGCATCACCTCTAGTGATTCGCACGTTGTGTTTTAACCTGTTGATAAAAGGAAATTTTGCCTTGTGAGATCATTGCATTTGTAACACAACACTGGTTATTGGAGCACTATCCAGTGACAATTTGACCGGAACGTATGACTGAAGATGAAGCCAATTTTCAGTGCTTGAATCTAAGTTTCCGTTAAAGACGCGGTGTTTGAAATATTTCCTTCGCTTTGGTTTTCTTGCAAATGTGTTACTAAATCCGAACTAAAAAAACAAAAGCAATTATGATCACGGAATTTTACCTGTCAAGCCGGGATGAAGCGCTGCGCCGAAAATTGATGGATTAATTTAAAACCGGAGCACGACATTTTAGTGAAGGGATCGTACTACCTTCTGTTGTTATCGCATGAAAAATTCACCAGTACGTGATGGGTGTCGAGCTGTTTTGTTTAAGTTGCCATGAAAATCGTCTGGCGGGCGTTACGCATCCTGGCTGGTGAATCGACTTTTGTATGGTAAAAACAATTATTTTTCCATTTATGATGCATTCTTGGTCACGTTAATTAGGTGTTAAAACTCACCATTTGCAGCTCTGTATTATGGCACTGCGACCGAGATGTACATTGGCCCTCGTTTTCCCGAATTTATAAAGTTAGTTCGTTGCCTCGCTTTATCATAGCTAGTCACTGGAAGATAGCTTCTGTTATGAAGTTCTTGACAGGGAGTGTTAATTGTTATTATTCAAGGTCGACTCTTTCGGCTTTGTGACGCTGTTCGCATATAGCACATCCCCCCAGGATGTTGTTAAAAACAACCTTGCCGACAGCTGCACGTATGGAAGCACACTGTTTATCTTTCTTGTTGCCACGGAAACAAAACACAGGCGACTGCCTTCTCATCAAGGCCGAAAATCAGCCTCGATCTTAGATTTCGGTAACAGTCTAGCGGCTCTTAGTGTTTGCCACGATGTGATTAAAACAAAAATACGCACTCGTTGCGAATAGTTATTTATCTAAAAGACGACACCCTTGAGAATGGCCAAATTGTATTTCAATTTCGTATCAGTCTGATGTTGCACATATGTCAACATGTGCAACAGCTTCATAAATTTGAACCTCTCAATAGATTGTTTGTTGGCAAGTATAGTTTAAAAAAAAATATCAGACGACTTACTGCGTAGCCATAGCCAACTAAGCCATCTTGTGAAACATTTTTCGGAACTGGCTTTTGCAACAATTTTGCCTTGTCTTTGTACTCTGAACTCGGATTTTCTCCGCATACGAAAGCGGAAGAAGTATAAGTATAATCCCTAGCTGTAGACTAGTCCCAGTGAATCCTTTGAGAGAGTATCTGCTAAAAAATTCTCGATTTTTGTGAAATTCACTCACGATGTATTCAACAATGTATGAGCAGAAGTGAAAAATCGATGAAAGTCGAAAAAATAACGTTCTCTCAAAGAATTTAAAGATAGTAACAACTGTTATTTGTTATTATTCTTAAAGATTATTTTCGGTTTGTGACCAATGTTTTAAAACCCAGTTTTATTTGTATTTCAATGGAAAATTCACGAAGGAAAGTTCGAAAGCACCCCTTGACGAAAGTCGCGTCATCACGTTAGAAAGCCAAAATATCGAATTGTTCTAAAACCACGTGTTTTACGTCAAGCATCTTCTAAAAGTTCAAGGTTGAAGCTTTGTAGAGCTACTCCACTTGATGTTATATGCGTTTTCTTTCCCCTGAGGGTCAAAATTGTGTTTGATGCGAAAAACAAAACAAACTAAACCCTTTACCTTCAATGTGCTTTTTCAAAACCACAATTATATAGCGACGAGTGGGGAACATTTAAGTTGCGCCCCCAACCCACCTCGTTTTGTTTCTTACCTGGTGTTTTCCTAAGTCAGTCAAATTGCTGCAAAGACGTTAATCTTGCCGAGAAATTTCAGTATGTCTTGTAAACGCGACTCTCACGAGGATATTCAAGCGTTCCCCGGCCCCTTATTACGTCACCGGAACTCTTTCTTGAAACTACAGCTATTTTACATCTTAAAATGTCTCAAATTACTTGAGAAAATTATCTGGCGGCGTGCTGGACGAATGAGATTGCAACTATTCAAACCTGCACTCGACCGTCGTGGCAAAATTTCAAAAGCCTTAAGCGAAGGAAGTAGCTCATGAAACTCCGAGCGCTAGATGGTATCTGCCTCGAAAAAAGACTAGCTTCAAAATTTGATTTTTTTCCCGCGTGGGTTTGACTTGAAACCAAAAGAGGTCAAAAACCATTAGGTATCGAACCTAAAAGATGTGAAATTTTTGTGTTTCGCGCAGCTTTCTTCGAGTTCAAACATTTAATTAACGAAAGAAATAGACTTCGACTAAGCCTATATACAGAGGAGTCTCTTGGCCCTGGGGCCGTACCTTATCGACTGCATTTTAAATAGATCATTACAAGGCTTCATTACTGACTGCAGGTGAAGATACATTTTCGTCGATAGAGTTGCCTTAAGTTGTAAATAAACTTTTGCTCAAGATTTTCCTTATACTTTGGCACGAAACAGCTTGTTGAAATTAAAATGAAAAGCCTAAAAGGATAAATCGATCAGTATTAAGAAATTATATGCTGTTTTGGGTTTACAACAATTTTGATCTCATACAGACTGTATTTTCTTTTATTTCGCCACAGGAATTTTAGATTCGATTTATTCTTTTTTTTTTTTTTTTTATTAACTTTATTTCCACATTAACATTCGAAAGTAAATTTTTCTCCAATAAGGGCAACAGTGATAGTTGTTGCGGATGGAAATCTATCATTTTCGTTGTTTCTTTTTTTGTTTGAAATTAAAAATCTTTCGTTGCTAGTATCAAGATTATTCAAATGGAGCTTAAAATTAAAGTGTGAGTTTTAAAAATTTTTAGATTAGTACTTGCTGTCATGGAGAGTAGAGATGGATATAACAAGGGAGTCGCTAGCTCCCCTGGGGTTACCTCTGCCGTAATTATTTGTGAAGCCAAAATGATTAACATGCTAAATAAGCAGGAATTGAAAGATAAAAAAAAAATGGTAATTTTGCTTTGAAGCGTACCTGCTTACACTTTCAATGTGATTTATACGTACTTTAAAAGTTTGGGAATTCGTGCCAGCGAAGTTCGTGCTTTTAACAGAACGTCAAAAAAGATGTTCTGTAATCATAGATTAATGCTTTTTCTTATGTGTCCACAAGGGGTGAATCGTTACGAAATAGCTCTGAAAATAACCGCGGCAAAAACTAGAACCAGACTGATGAACCATAGAATTAAATGAGGCGACCGTTGCTGACGTTCCTAGACTTTTGGGTGAATTATTTTTAATCAAACCGAAGGGAAAAAAACAAACGACAAAAAAAAAAAAAACTACAATAAAATTGTACTACATCCATTTTCCTTTTTTTTTTGTTTTGTTTTTTTTTTTGCATTTTTAGTTTGTGAACCAAGACACGACGAAGACTCTTACCTGTTATACCGAAAGAATATATTTCGACAATGTAATCTTGGTTGATAATTTATTTTCTTGCCACTCTGGTTCAGAAGTGTTTGCAAAATTGTTAAAGAGAAGCAACTAAAAACTGAATGAAAAATCCTGCCAGTTTTTGTTTAAATATTACATAAGCAAATTAAAATGTTTTCCTTTCCATTCACCGTAGTCACGGAACATATTCTTGGTTCAATATCATTATGCTATACTGAAACAAACCTGTTGACAATTTCTTTGGGATAAAAAATGTCTTTTTTCTAGTCTAAGAAAGAAAAAAACCGTTCTCCTTCCTAAATTAAACGAGTTAAATTAACATAATTTTTTTGAAACATTCGATGGCATTAGCTTTTATTCCTTTTATGAACCGAGCCGGCTTTTAGAGAAATGTGGAGTTACACAGATGTTAATTTGCTTACATCAAAAGAAAAAAATAATTAGTTTTTCCTTAGATTCGTCCAAACCCAACACAAACAACTTCTAACTTTCAAGCTCCTTTTTGATGTATCACCTCCACACCCGTTGTATGGTGAAAAAAATTATCACAGTTTTAAAAGGAATATTCGGTAACGAAAGCGCTTGCCGATTCGACAAGACCTCTCACGAAATATGTCTTCTCGTATTAATTTACCTTTTCTTAATTGCTTAGGTTCTGAGCAACTTAAGATACAAATAAATTTACGTTCAATTTTCAACTGTTTTCAATTGTTGAAAACAAAAAAAGAAGAAAAAAAAGAAAAAGAAAACAGTCAGAAAATGTCTTACCTGTCACCGCTCCATGTAAAAGAACAATTGTGAAAAATGACACGCCCGTAACAAACTCCACGGCTCTGATATAGAATTTTCTTTACTTAAATTATTCATGTTGTATTTTTGATTTGTTGGTGAAATTATCATTAAGTAAGAGAAATACTCGATTTTAACCGATGTTTTTAAGAAGAAGAAATAATAAAGATCTTTTAATGGACCATATATTACTCGTGCGACATCCCGGCGCCATCATGAAAACGCCATGCACCCAAGCAGGCGAAATATATGGAAAGGATCACCCATAGTTGTTGGGATTTCCGTGCATTTTCTTTAAAAGAGATGCTTCAAATTATATATTGTATGATATAAAAATAGGTCAAAGGAAAAGAAAGGACAAAAGATAGGCCAATAAATCTGTGCAGATAAATGAATTTATTAGCCGTTATTTTCATGATGACTGCACGATATTCATGCATGGTAATACGTGTAAATTCAATAGCCTTAAAATTGTTTAGACTTCAAAGGCCCGGTTTACCATTTTTGTTTTGGGAACTTTTCATTTTTTTGCATGTGGGTCGCTTTAAATAATAACCTGTAACGATAAGAAAAGTCGCTTGAAAGTAGAAGGTTTGAAGTGATACCAAATACATTTTACTACTCAAACCAACAGAGTTTTTCAACCTATCAAATAAGTCTAGTGATAAAAGCTTACTCTTTAAAAACTGAACTCAAGGATCGTCTTCAATGATATTTAGGAGTTTCGTGGAGATAACTCAGATAATGAATGAGTTTCGGATATCCAAACGATGTTAAATTGACCATCAAGCATTGGAGAAAGATAAAAGAAGGTGGATGACGTCAAATTGATGTTTTGAAGCCCATTTTAAAAGAAATCAGCTTTTAATTAGGTCCTTTTAACTTTTGTGTTTGTCTCGTGGCATTTGCAATATTGACGTCTTTACAATTTAAAACTACATTCCTGGCCATTAGTTGTTGGAACACCTTCCCTTTGCGCGCTAAAACCCGCGATTTCAACTACGTATGTCCTTGACGTTTTAGAAAAAGATGAATAGAAGCAAGTATAATTGACCCACCTCCACCTAGCAATGTTGAAAGATAATAAAGCTATTCTGAAGATTAGATCGGATGTTGGAAAAAAGGAAAAAGGGACAATAGAAAGTGGTTAGACAGTTGTCTTGGAACCGAACGTGATTACTGAAAAATCGTTATTAT